CTTGTCTATTTTATATATACAGTCAACTCTGGATTTAATGAACCTCTCTATAACAAACTCCGGATAGAATGAACTCAGATTTTTAAAGTTTTCATAATAGTTCGGTATAAAAAGTGCTAGGTTTATTAAGAAAACAGTAATTTCTATAACGAGCTTTTTTTTTCTCTCAGAACCATCGGTTCGTTATAGTAAGAGTTGACTGTATATGAAATTTCATATTAATCTGTTTTTATTTTAATCTGCCACTATGTTGATTTTGTGAATAAAATTAAATTTGCCAGCCATCTAGTTATCCAATTTGAATAAATTTTTTTTATTTTGCAGAGCTGAATAGGATCTACAAAATAAAAAAAGTTCATTAAAATTGGATAACTAGATGGCTTGCGAATTTAATTTTTATTCACAAAATCGATATAACCTCAGAGCGTCATTTTCTATTGTAGTAAAGATCCTATTTATGGTTATATATTATAAAATTGACACTCACTATAATCCGTGACGTAACTATTACTGTACTATTTTTGCCAGATAGTGGGAGATGACTACAAAACCTTGCCGGTCACAATTAACTTTATGAGCCAATCAAACTTTAGGATCAGATATAACGCGAAAAAATAACGATCTAAAACTACCATCTGCGTACTAATAAGTTTTCGAAATGTTGGCATTATCATATCCTTAGGACTTTAATAGCGAAAATGTAACCCTTACATGATATATAGTATTGAAGCTTTTCTAGCGAAATATTTCAGGTTATAAATAGTAGGTCAAACTATGAAGCTTACAATGTTAATTGCATTATTAGCTGCACTGTCAGTTAACACATCTGGCTTCAATGATCTCTGTATTTATTAATATTTAATATTGATTTAAAAAAAATCCCACATATTAACAAATTTGTTTTTACTCTGAAATTTCGATGGTATCGATGGGTTTACTTATCAAAGACAAGTTTGTATTTGTGTTAATTACTTGTAACGTATTATCATTTTCTAAAAATTGCATTTTAATTTCATTATCTTCATCTAAACTTAACATTTCTTCGATCCAAAATCCAACTTGAAGATTAACAGATTTTGCAGTAGGTCTTTTTTCAGGATTTGGATCGATGCATCTCTTAGCTAATCTAACGTAACAGTCAGGTGTTCCAGGAATAAATTCTAAACCTTCAAAAGCTTGTTTTCCAGTTGATATTTCCGTCATAATAACGCCAAGACTGTAAACATCAGCTGCTGATGTAAACATTTTATGATCCATCAAAACTTCTGGAGCGATATAGTGTTCAACACCGAATTTTTTACTCGTTTTAGAAAGGCCTAAATCAGCGATATACGCGCTACATAAATTATCTTGTAAAATATTACCACTATGCAAATCTCGATGTTCGAGTCCTTGGGAATGGATAGCTACAAGATCGGAAGTTATGCAATATAATAATTTCAATTTATCTTTCCATCTCATTTTCGCTATAGAACTAAGATTCTTATTTAAAGAACCCATTTCTGCGTATTTTAAAACAAGGATATATTTTCCAGTTTCATCTCTTGATATACCATGGCATCTTAAAAATGAAGGATTCTCGTATCCGATTTCACAATACGCTTTTAGCTTTAAGAAAATATATTAATAAAAATATAATTTAAGAAATAATAGCAAAGAATGAGAATAAAAATACCTCATCTAAATAATTTTGATCATGAATTTTTTTAAGCGCAAATGTAACAGTTTCACTATATTGTTTGGTTTTCATTATCCATGTCGCACTATAAACAGTTGCAAAAGAACCTTGCCCGATTTCTTTGATATTTTTAAATTCATTATAAGGAATCCAAGTTAATTGATATCTATTATTATCTAATAGTTTTTTCACAATATCATTAATGTCAAATTTTTCATGTGTTGATTTAATCGTTTCGTGAGAATTGTTTCTTTCCATTTGAAACCAATGATTAGCCTTTTGTATATCTATTTGAGTTCCGATTCCGTTCCGATAACAATATCCAAGTTGTCTCATTGCAACATTATTTCCCATTTCTGCAGATTTTTTATATAATATTCGAATGCCTTATGTTCATCCTTTTCAACTCCAATTCCTTTTTCATAGCTTTCTCCAACATTAAACATTCCACTAGTGTTCCCCATCTCAGCAGATTTTTGAAAATAAATGAATGCCTTATGTTCATCCTTTTCAACTCCAATTCCTTCGTTATAGCAATATTTGTTCCTTTAGCATCCCCCATCTCTGCAGATTTTTGATAATAAATGAATGCCTTATGCTAATCCTTTTCAACTCCAATTCCATTTTCATAAAAATAACCAAGCTTACATATTCCTTTAACATGACCCATATCAGAAGATTTTTGAATATAATTGAATGCTTTATTCTCGTCCTCTTTAACTCCAATTCCTTTTTCATAACAAACTCCAACATTATATGTTCCATTAGCTTCTCCCATCTCTGCGGAATTTTGATAATAAATGAATACTTTATGTTCATCTTTTTCAACTCCAATTCCTTTTTCATAACAATATCCAACATTATTTGATCCATTAGCGTCCCCCATTTCTGCAGATTTTTGATAATAAATGAATGCTTTATGTTCGTTCTTTTCAACTCCAATTCCATTTTGATAACAATATCCAACACTATTTGTTCCATTAGCATGCCCCATTTCTGCAGATTTTTGATAATAAATGAATGCTTTATGTTCATCCTTTTTAACTCCAATTCCATTTTCATAACAATAACCAACGTTATATATTCCATCAACATTACCCATATTAGCAGATTTTTGATAATAAATGAATGCCTTATGTTTATCCTTTTCAACCCCAACTCCATTACGATAACAATATCCAACGTTACATATTCCACTAGCATGCCCCATCTCAGCAGATTTTTGATAATAAATGAATGCCTTATGTTCATCCTTTTCAATTCCAACTCCATGTCGATAACAATATCCAACATTAAACATTCCACTAGTGTCCCCATCTCAGCAGATTTTTGATAATAAATGAATGCCTTATGTTCATCCTTTTCAACTCCAATTCCATAAAAAGAGTTATATCCAATACTATTTAGTTTAGACGGATTTTCTTGATCCATTTTTTTTTTCAAGACGTGTGAGAAAAGGAAAACCGAACTTGTATTTGTATTTTCATCACAAATATATGCACAACATGTGACATATTTTAAATTCACGTTACAGCATTAAACTAATTTAAAAATTCGTGTATCACTTACGTACGTACGGCACGTAGTTAATTGCCAATTCGGAAATGCAGAAATAAAACGATTCTTCACCTTATGATTTATAGAATGATCTAATTTACTAAAACAAAAATAAATCATTTACTGGTAACCTCTGAACCTGGTCCTGAATGTCTTCTTTTTTAAATTTAATTGTTATAAATTATGAATCACTTCGATAAAAATCTCAATTATAAGCAAATCACATTGAAGAAACGATTTAATTTATTCGGTTTAATATTCCCGCTAAAGAGTAATTACCTTTGGTCTCTATTTTTTGTTTTAATGTTATATAGAGTGACAATATGTCAATTTAAAAAATTTGTATTGAATATTGGAAAAAAAAATTCAAATCGATAATATAATGTTTGATGTCATTTAAATTTTCGTGCATATATAAAGGTTTAAATTTGTGAAATATAAAATGCATTTTTCTGTCTTTTATTAATCGTAAACTTTTGTCCATTCAAAAAATATATATCGATATTGCTAAGGGAGCTAACATTTAAGAGCTCAATATAGCCCCCCTGGGGATTGTCAATTGACTATGGCTGTTCTCAAGAGCCCGCCGGCTCAGAAACAGCTCAGCGTGTACCGGCACCGTTAAAAATCTGCCGACGATTATCATACCAGAAAAAGTAAAACCGAACCGACGATCTATCCGAA